GGGGGCGCCCCACAGAGGCAGCGCCTCATCCAGTGGCCACTGCGGCAAGTGAGCATGTGCACGGGCCGGGCCCCATGTGGGACGCTCACAGGCAGTCACCGGGCCACAGCAGGAGGCTCAGACCAGAGTGCCCAACGCCAAGCAACAAATCCGACCAGTAACAGGCGGTCAGAAGTTCAGGCTGACCCAAAGCCCCAGGGCCGGCGAAGAGAGCCACGTGTCCGAGCCCCCCAGTGATTCAGACCCGGGGCCCAAGAAAGGGCAGGAGCCCAAGCCAGCAGAGCCCTGGTCCCTGCTGCGGGGAGTGCAAATGGCACCAACACGCCGGAAGCCAGTTAAATAGTTAACTACGCACCGTGCGCCGATTACATGACAAGCCATTTCCCGCCTAAGTATTTATTCACGGGAAAGGACTTTATTGCAGTCACCTTTAGTGCAGATTAATGAATAAACAGATTGTGCTATATCCGTACAATGGAGCTATTGATAAGCATAACAGGATGGATGAATCTCAAAATAATTATGCTGAGCAAAAGATAAAAAGCCATATCACATAATGCCATTTATATAAAACTAGAGGCCCGGTGCACGAAATTCATGCCCTGGGGGGAGGAGGGTCCCTCAGCCTGGCCCGCGCCCTCTCGAAGTTCGGGAGCCCTCGGGGGATATCCAACTGATGGCTTAGGCCTGCTCCCCACCCTGTGGGCACACACTGAACACCAGGGAGCAGCTCCTGCATTGAGCATCTGCCCCCTGGTGGTAAGTGTGCATCGTAGCAACCAGTCGTTCCGCCATTCAGTCAATTTGCATATTAGCCTTTTATTAGATAGGATTCTGGGACATGTGAGTTAATCTGCAGTGAAAGATAATGAACGGAATCAGTGGTTGTCTAGGGACGGGGAGCTCGGAAACTTTGGGAATGGTGGGTGTCACCTGCGCCAGTGGTTTCCGAGGCCATGTCAAAACTCATCCAGGGGCACTTTTAATATGCATGGTTTTTTGTGCATCAATCATTCCATACAGACTTTTTTCAAAACAAACACAAAAAAACTCCCTTTGCTCAGTCTTGCACTAAAATGTTAAAGTATTCTTGGAAACAGCCCTTGGTTGCATCAGTTCTGTTCAATTGTGATGGGAAGTGGCCTCCAAACTCTGGGTGGGAGTGGAACCCTCATTTGCTGTGGGTTGAGCGAGCCGTGGCTGGGTTTGGGGTTGCAAATTCCTTTAGAACCACTGCTAGTCAGTGGAGAAAGCGGCCACCAGGGGGCGCACAGTGACTTCCTTTTTCTGGAAGAAGCTTTGAGAAATCAAGTCATCCAGGAGGGAGTGTAGCAGGCTTTCCCACCGCACTGTAATTAAATCTTAAAAAACAAAATAGAAAATAGCCAAACAAATCAAGCTGGCTGTCGTCCCGTGCACCAAAATGTTGCTAGTTTGATTCCTGCTCAGGGCACATGTCTGGGTTGGGGGCTCGATCCCAGGTGGGGGTGTGCAGGAGGCAGCTGATCGATGCTTTGCTCTCTCCCTTCCCCTTCCTCTCTCTCTAAAATCAATACAAATATTGTGACAAAAAACTTTGGTAAAGGTCCCTCTTCCAGGGACCAGCAATCCCTGTCCAGGATCTGACCTCGGAGCTCTATCCCAGAGAGTAAGTACATCGACCACCATATTCACTGCAACCTTGCTTGCCATCGCAGACTGAGAACAAGCAAAACCCTTCCCTGCTGTGTCAGA